AAACAATTGTTAATAAATTTTAAAATTATATTTTAAATGTTTAATTGATCATATTTAGAAATATGATTTTAAATATTTTTTAATAAATTATTGACCTCTAATTTGATCTTTCTTGAGGACTGCTTCTTATAAATCTTTAAAGTATTTTTAAGTACAATACATATTTAAACGTAATTTTAAATTCAATCACAATTAATATAAAGCCTTAAATTTTGAAATTTAAAAATATTATCTAAAATTGTAAGTACATTATTAAAAAAAAAGAGTAAAGAAATAAAGCACGTCATCAGCTTAGCTGTCAAATTATGAAATTGAGAGTAAGATGGTCAAATGATTGAGAGCTCAACTTCCAAGATAATCAGCAAGTCCTACCCTTTTGGTCACTTTGATCGACTTTTTCACTTTGCAACTTTTTTTCTCCACTAATTTGGTGTTCCCTACCCACTTTTTTTTTTTAATTCGATGATTGTATTAAACCATCAATTTAATTTGAATCGTATTTATTAAAATCTATTTTGAAAATATACATTCAACAAGTTTTCTAACATATTCAATCAGTGATGAGGTATTTTGTATCTTGACCTGTGTTTGATACTACTAAAATGTGTTTTATCGTGATAATAGTTTTGAAATTATTTTAAATTTGACAATTACTGTTTATAATAGTTATATAATACTTTCTCTAATTTACTCTATATTAAGTGAATTATTATAACATTTTTTTAAATTTAAAATAAGTGAATTATTCAAAGTTTTAAAAAATTATTAGGATTATATAAAATTTATCCTTCATTATATAAGGTTCTTAACTACTTTACATTTCATTGACTAATGATTTGAAAATAACCAAAAGAATAATGTCTCTAATTTATGTCTTTAATATTTTTCTCCAAACAATTCACTTAATATTAATTTAAAAAAATTACTAAAAGTAGTAAAAAATAATATTCTTTTAAAAATAATCAAAAGAATGATGTCTCTAATTTATGTCTATAATATTTTTGTCTGAACAGTTCACTTAACATAAATTTAAAAAAATTACTAAAAGTAGTATAAAAATAATATTCTTTTACAAATAATCAAAAGAATGATGTCTCTAATTTATGTCTTTAATATTTTTGTTCGATCAATTCACTTAATATAAATTTAAAAAAATTACTAAAAGTAGTATAAAAAATAATATTCTTTTAAAAATAGACAAAAACATCTCTATTTTTGATAGGGCCAAGCAAATACTACTTTGCTCAAATATTTGGAGAAAGGTTCCTCATGTGCATGGGCAGTCTTATCTTGATTTTATGTCTGGGGATGCATTCTATCTTTCAATTTACCTTTGTACTTCCATCGTTTCATTTCTTTAGTTAAACAATATATATATATATATTTATATTTATATTTATTTATTACATACTATTTTCATTTCAAAATATGTATTATTTTAGATCATTTCATGTCCATCGAAATAAATAAAATACATAGTTTATTAAGTTATATATATGTTAAAGATATTTTTTTGAAAAAGTTCGGCATTATTAAAAAGAAGTAGAGTAGTTCTTTAATACAAAAGTATAATTGAAAAAATACATTACCCAGTTCTTGTCTGAATCATTAAGATGGTCATACTTCGACTGGTTTAATGTGTTTGATTTACCTTTTTATTTTTAGTCAGTTTTTTTAAAGAAACGTCATTTTCTTTTTTAACAATTTTTTAATCTTAATTTTTCATATGACATGTTTACAATTACAAGACTATTGACATTTCGATACATTTGATATATTTTTATTTTAGGCTATAAGATTCAAAACTCTTTTTTTTTTTAAATATGGTGTCAACCTGTTAAATCAAATTAAACCAAACAAATACAAATGAATTACTTACTTTTAAAAAATTTTAAAAAATTAAAATGACAATTATTTTGAAACGGAAGAAAGAAAATAAGGGAAGGACTCCGTAAAACCTAAATTCGCAGAGAGAGTAGAGACTACACTTGTTAATTACAACTTAATTAATTGTAGAAGTTAGGGGGAAACAGCTTGCTGGGTTCTTCTTAACTGTTTTAACTTATTAATCATCATCAATTATTAAAAAAGTACAAAATTACTTTAAAAATATGTGATGATAATTGATAAGGCAAATCCTCAAAATCAGAGCTTAGACAATAATATAATAAATAATAAAGAAATAAATGTCAAAAGGCCGACAAACCTGATTTGTGAAATGAATTATTTGAAACAAACAAACATGCCCCTAATTCTTATTACCTGACAAATCTCCATTATCGAAGATGTATGTCGTATAATACTACTTTCTCCGTTTAGTATTATTTGTCATAATTCTTATTTTTAATGTTAAAATATAAAAATTTTGACTAATTTTTTAAAATATTTTTTTATCATATTAATATATAAAAAATTGTAATTTTTAGTATTTTTCATATAGTTTTAGAATATCTAATTTATTTGTTTAAAATATCGACTTAATGTGATCTAATTTACTTTTGAAAATTAATCAAATTTACTTTTGATAAGCGGAACATGACAAACAATTCCGAACGGAGGAAGTATTATTTTATTTTATTTCTGCAACATAATCTCAAATTTTACAAATAAATCAAAAGGATCTTTCAATTTCACTGCTAATTATATATATATATATATATATATATATATATATATATATATATATATATATATATA